GTTCTTTTGTGATTAACGTAAGGTAATTCTTTCTGTCAAAAATAATCATATGAAAATGCACCGAATTTCAGTACCATGTAATTTAGTTCGGAAACTGAGAGGTATCTGTGACATCTTGTCTATATGTAGAAAATTTTTAATAAGGTTATTATGACTGAAATTTGTTTCAAAATATTCAATATTTCATAACTTCTATCAACCAATAAATGCGATAAAGGTAAACTCACCTTTTATAAATATGAAACAAGATAAACGAAATAAATTTGTGGTAAAATGAATTACAAACATTATGTCGAAATGACTGACACTGAGCATGTGTTTGTTATTTTAATAGTAATTTAATTATCAATTACATGTAGCTTTCAATAGGAATTAGGTATTTTAAGCCTCTTATAAATTTTTTTCTTAGCGTTAAAGCTCGATAACATGAATCAAAAGCAGAAAATTAGTTAAACTACACTGTCTCACTAGTCGTAAGATTATATTACTGAAATATGCATATAAAACAAATTAACATTCTATAAACGTACATTAAAATACCGAAACGCAATAAAAATCAATAACATTTATACTTAAAAAGCAACAAAAAGCCGGGCTCATGTGAATCACTAGAAGAGGCGCCAAATTGGCTATACGAATTCGAAAATTACTTTAATTATTAGGGGAAATAGGCTTCGTCAAACTTAAATCAATAAAAACAAACCAAAAAAAATTGCAAGAAAACCTGGAAATTAATGCAATATGCATTTCAGTGTTATTTCTTATTTATCAAAAAACGAATTTTTTAACGTTTTCATTTGAAAATTATAAATAATTGGCTACATTATTTCTCTGAATTTATAAAACTACGATTAAAAAATACTTTAAGAATTATGGTATAATTATGCTATAAGAGTTATGACATTTTGATTTAATACAATTACTTTTGCTTAATACAAGTGTAGCTATTTTTATATTTATATGGACGCGCATTGACCTTTCTGCCTCAGGTGAAAAAATATCTTGGCACGGCTCTGGATAAGCAATTAAGATTAGAAATATGCACAAAATTAGTAACAAGGCAATACAAAACTCTTCCTTTTCTGTTTTGGATTTCCCCAGAAAAAAATATCTTTTTTCGTCTAACCAAAGCATGGACACAAAACGTGTTCCTTCCTCCGTAAGGGCAAAAGCAGCCCATCTGCTTAATCGCCTCTAGGCGGTAATCAAAGGACAGTAGGAAACCATCACTTAAGTGAAACGACTTGTTGATCGCCCTACAAAGGAGGGGGGAAGAAAATCTAACAAAGGCCGTTTTCAGGACAATTTTGGTTCACACTAAATGAAAAAAAAAATTGTAAACATGGTTAATTTTTACTGCAGTTTTCGAGACGTAAATAGATTTGAATGCGAGCCGCCCGGTGGGTTAATTTATAATTGAACTAACATTAGCTTTTTAAATACCAAATTCGTAACACTGCCCCCTTCCCAAGGACTGCACGTCCGGGGCAGTACAATCCCTGGACAGGAAGCTAAATTTACAACTGTGGCAGAAATGCAACTGAGGCATAAACATTACATTACAATATCAAACAACATGAACAATAAATGCAATAACTAACTTAAACAAATCAAATGCTATCAAATAACTAATACAAATACAAATACAAATCAAATACAAATAAATCAATACCAATACAAATCAAATCAAATCCATGGTCTGATACTATTTACAATTATTTACATTATGTACTATGGCCATAGTAATAAGCTAACCTGTCGTAAGAGTTCGAAGACTCACGGATCCGAACCACGACGTCATTCGTGTTCAGCACTGTATATGGACCATCCGAAGGTGACTGTAATTTAGGACTCAGTCCTTTTCGTTGAATTGGGTTCCACAACCACACCTTGTCTCCTTTGTTGGATCTATGTCTAGTAGCTCTTGTGTCGCATCTGGTCTTCATTTTCTCCGTCGCCAAGTTGACTCGCTTTCGTGCAGAACGGTGCATCCCCTCAAACCGGGCCTGGGCATCTTGGATGTGTTCCTCAGGCGATGAAGGCGCATCCGTAGGGCGACTAAACAGGCGGTCACAAGGCAGACGAAGGTCTCGACCGAAGAGCTTCTGGATGGAGAATAGCTGGTAGTCTTGAGTTTCTTTTCGACCCTGGTATGATTTCGGCAGCTTCCCGAGCTCGATCTTTCGGACAAGGCGTCGACATTTCCAGGCGAGGATCCCTTTTGAGGATGGATAGTCATGCCATCAGATGCTGAAAGCAGCTTATTGTTTTTGAAATCTAAGGAAAAATTGTATTTCCTTAAAAAGTCCAATCCGAGTATGCATGGATCTGTAATATCCGCCACATATGCCGTGTGATGGTAGGCGGCACTTCCAAACGTGATGTTTACGTTTAACTTCCCAGTTATGTCGATCTTGTCACCAGACGCAGTCTGAAGGGTAACACAGGATGGCGTCCAAATAAGTTTATCTTTAAACTGTTCAGCTAAATCTTTCCTAATGATGGTAACATTAGCTCCTGTGTCAATGATCATATTGCAAGGAACTCCATCGATATTCCCATTGATGGACAGTCCGTTATTGTTGCCACTCACTATAGAGATCTTAAGCGCTTTAAAACAGGGTTTTTCATTATCTGGCAACCTCCGTTCCTTGATATGGTCATTAATTTGTTTCCTGCGTCGTTGCTCAGAAATTGTCTCAATTTTCGTACCCTGGGGTGTTCTGCAATTCTTTCGTACGTGGCCTTCAGCTCCACAGTTCCAGCACTTTGGATTCTTGTCAGTCCTTTTCCTTCCCGTGGCATTTAATTGTCTGTTTAAATCGTATGCCTTATTTTCCGTGCTCTGGGGAGTTCTGCAGTTCCTTCGTAGGTGGCCTTCAACACCGCAATTCCAGCACTTTAGGGTCGGTTTTGTTTCACACTATTCCGTCTTAAAGCATTCACATTATTATCCGTGCCCTGTGGTCTTGTCAACTCATCCGTTTTATTATCCGTGCCCTGCAGTGTTCTGCAATGCCTTCGTAGGTGACCTTCAGAACCACATCTCCAACATCTTACAGCCACTTTGTTCTCACTGCTACTCCGTATCAAAGCATCGACTTGTCTGGATAAATCATCTAAACAAGCCATCAATTGGTCCCCTTGGTCGTGGACTCGCACAGCTCTGACTGGGTAGCGATCCCTAAGAGTTGCTTGCTGGGCTGCCTCCAATTTCACGGCGTACAACAGAGCGCTTTTTACATCCTTTACATCTGCCATTCGCAGTGCTTTCTGTATTTCAGGGTCCCGGATGCCATCGATGAAATATTGCAGCGACGGAATTTCCCTCGTTTCTCTCGGGCACTCCGTAAATGCGAGGTGGGACAGCCTTTCAACATCCGTGGCGAGTTCCTGGAGTGATTCGGTGGGCTTCTGTTGACGGGATTTTAATTGAAGCCTGCTGTAGTCCTTTAAACATTTCTCGCCAAAGCGGAGCTCCAATGCGCCGGATAGAGCTTCGAAGTCAAGTCTTTGGTTTTCGGGAAGCGTCTGCAGTATATCCGCTGCGTCTGCTCGCAGAGAAGCGGCGAGATGACAGGACTTAGCTTGGGACACTATAAATGTCGTTTCCCTTTTTAAACTATTGTCACCAAATATTAGAGCCAAAAGAATTAAATAACGATCCAAAGAAATAATATAAGAAATATTACATCCCATAATTAATGAAATTGCACGTCAATTTTTAATTATACCTACTTAGATTAACATGACAGCACAATATTATATTCTTTCACACAATATTTTAGGTTTTATTCCAAACATTTTTGCTCATAGAATAAATGATGTATTTTAAAGAATTTTTTTTTTTACTTTTTGTGAGATTCATACTATTTCTGTGGATTATTGGGTAATAAAAATTCATAGATAAAAGACAGAAGGACAATTGAGTTTCTAATTCATACATATAATCTTATTGGTTTAAAAAAATCAATCAGCACTATAAATGAAAAATTTACCTGCATTACTATATGTTTCCCATCAACAGCTCCAATGCAGTTTGGAAATTCCCACTCATTGTTTATAATAGTAGCTATTTTCCTCCACTTTTCTGTTGTAGGTGGTTTTAATACCACTGGAGACAAGTCAACCCATATAGCATCACACACCTGTCTAACGATTTTTGAAACTGTTGGTTTCCCAACACGAAACAGGTAGGAGATGCTGGTCATGGAATCACCACTCGCCAAGAATCTGGAAAATAATATACACTTGAAATGTCAAAGAGAAAGATATACAATTATTATCTTTCCAACATAAAAATAAAAGATGCTGCCTTTCCAATAAATTTAATTAGGCTAATTCTACTTATGTATTATATGTTTGCTATTTATCATACAGAATATCTTTATTGTAAATCATTTCAACCAAGGAATTAAACAGATTACTTTACTGGCTTCTTTTATTTTTATTACTGTCATAAATATATACAATAATTAATAGCATGCAGATTAAAAAAAATGAAAGTAACTAATATTAATTAAATAGATTTATACATTGCATTATAAATATTTTTTTATTAAATATTAAAATAAATGACGAAATATGCTATGGAAAAATAGAATTAAAAATGAATTTTAAATAGTGAACTCTACTTACGTTATAGTAATAGCTAATCTTTCTTGTGCAGAGATGGGATTCCTGAATGAAGTGGCCTTCATTGTAATTCGTGAACCAACAACTGATAACAATTCATCAAATTTTTGCGGAGTCACCCGGAAGAAATTAAAAAATGACTCAGTATCCTGCAGTCGCATTTCGTTTATCAGATTTTGTTCCGCCTCTTGGTCTTGTCGATTTAGGTAAATCGGTCTAACCCACCATTTCCTTTCAGAACCGCTCCGTTTTGCTTCCCGTTTCTTTGATAGTAAAAGAAACAAAACTTTTCTGCGTTTTACGTCAGGATCCATATCAAATTCAAAACAAACAGCAATCGCTTAGCGGGAAAAGATCAGATGTTCAGCGTACTCTCGCGAACAGGTTGTTTGGCGCCAAAATATTACAGTGACACCTAGCGGCGGTAAATGAAAATATTTTACGGTCGCAGCAGTGGAAACGCTTGTACGGATGCCGTAGGCGTGTCTTCAATTGACGCAACGCGTTCGTACGCAGTAGTGGAAACGGGCCTTAACACGGCTGTTCACGTTGTGTGTTCTTAATTATTAACAGCTCTAAGAACAATGAGGTTTCCAACCTCTAAAAATAATGTGTTTCCGTAGGCCGCAAAAATATGCATGTGCATTTTAAATAATTAAATAATGCTTTATTTTTATTATTGGTTATTGTCATCTAAAATTATGAGAATAAATCAATTTTTATGGCGTTAAAAATTTTAACAAGTTAATATATTGTTAATGCTTTTCTAACAATAACCTTTCAGAGGATGGTAGGTGTGACATAAATAGATGATTAAATTGAAATAAAAAAATATTATTGATTATCTAAGATGACAGAATAGTTTGATGCATCACCATGGTCATCAAAATTAGCCAACCACTGCTGATGTAAGGAATATATTGTTTTCTGTGTTAATTGGAATTTAAGACAAATTTTTTTCGTTTCTCACGTTTAACCGGTTAATTTCAATACATTAATACTAATTTATAATTTTAAATGAATTTTTATTTCCGTTATAAATGCTTATATATTGTCTTATGCTTAATATATTCTTTTCTGTGCTAACTTGAATTTAATTCAAATTTATTTTCGTATATCGTTTAACCGGTTAGTTTTACATCTACATGCTTATTACCTGTGAATTTTTACTACCATATGCTTGTTTTGTTTGCTAACTTGAATTTACATGCACTAAAAATCACGTTTGCAAAATATCACATTTACGGCTCGGCTCATCGTCGATGAACCGCGAGCTTGGCGAGTAAAAATGCAACGGTGCCAATGGATTCTTTCCCGAAGCGCCAACGGGTTCTCTGCGGATGAAAACCCAAGTAAGAAATCTGCTTTGCTTTAATCTTTATAATACAATACATTTTACAATGATAAGGCAAAATACAATGTGGAATGGTTATGCGAAGATTACGATAGTACCTAGAGTATTCAGCATTTCGTATAATCCTATACCAAAATAATAATAATATTAAAGTAAATTTTATCTGAATAAAGTTTTTTTATTGCATAAACAGTAAAATTATGCAATTGCATAAATGAATGCACTTTCAGACAATATACTTAATACTGTTTACAAGTTGAAACCAAAGTTCTGTATATGTTACTTCTCGCCCTTCAGCGCATGCTCAAGAATTACCATCCAAGCGAAACTAGTCGATTTGTCCATGACGTCAAAAATTCGAAAAGTGGGGTAGGGCAGAGGAAACTAGTATCTGAGGGGCTAGACGCTTGTATTTGTGATGTTATAACTTCGGCGCCGGTTTCTTATTCTTAACATATTTATTCTTTTGACTCTGTTGAGTTGGTTGATGTTACGGATGAGTTTGTTGGCTAGGTGTTTGTTTTGGTGATACACATTGTGTACTTTGTGAGTTACGGAGAGGTGAAGTTAAATGATGTGGATTACTGAAAATGTGTCCGTGTGAATTACGAAAAAACTCTGAATTGCACGATTCACGAAAAGAGCCATTGACGACAAAATGACTGATTCAAGTGAGATATTATTAAATATCATTCTTGTCGATCTTATATGGAATATTTAGGGGGAAAAAATGTGTGTAATATACTGCGTTAAAAAGTCAGGAAAAGGAAAACTCAAATGTTTACGCAGAATGTGAAGTTTATGCGATAATAAAGAAACTGTATTATTAATAAAGAAACTGTAAACTGAAAAATCTGTATTAAGAATACAGATTTTGAATTCTTAATTTAAAAGCTAATCGGTCATTATTGAAATATTTCAATTTCAATCAAAAGCTTTTTGATAACATACCCCTTAAGAATCTACAATGATTATTAATGTTAATTGTCAACGTTAAAGCAAAAATTATGTAAAACATTCTTTTATATTTGTTTTAGAGATGCAGAAAATTAGCGTTAATTTTTGTTTTGTTCTACCGTTTATTTGCAATTTAAACAGTTACCGAAGATACATAAATTACAGAATTATATAAATTATATAGAATTGTGTAAGTTAGCAGGATATGTTAGTTGGAAAATATTTTCCATTTAAAGGTGGGAAAATGCAGAAATTTATTTTTGAAAATAATATATGGGTTTTCATCCGCAGAGAACCCGTTGGCGCTGTTGCATTTTTACTCGCTAAGCTCGCGGCTCATCCTTGATGTGCCGACCCGTAAACGTGATTATATTTTCAAAATCTATTTGCATAGATCATGTACTATTGTAATGTAGGCTTCGAAATTTTTTCTTACATATTATTATCCGTCTATTCTAAACCTTGCTACAAAATAAGTATCATAAAAATATTCCTTGTAATTAAAGTAAGTCCTTGTAACCCAAAAACTTATAATCAAAAACTTGCATAATAATTCGGGGCACTATTCGGTTTCGAGGGCCGAAAAAAATCGCCAAACTATTGTTGATGCCAGCATGCTGCCAAAAATAATTGCGGCAAGAAAGGAAGTATAATAATAAATAACTATCTAAGATTGATGTTTTAATTTAGATGAAAGGTTAATTTCATATAATACTTTTTTATTATTGTAATTTATATGAAAAAGGCTAAACATGACTGAATGGAAGCATAAGAGTAAATGACTATTTCAGATCATTATTATAATTTATATAAAAATTGCTAAACATAACTTAATGGGTGCCTGCATCGCTATTTCGTTGCCGACTTATAGCTAAAGCATAATTTCATCTCGTTGGTTGTTCAAACGTAATTTTCTATAATGAATGATGCCTTTATTTGAAAATATTCAGAATCAGAATTCAGAGGTGCAGAATCGCTCACTTATTTGTTTGCCACTTTTTACAAGGATAAAAACAATTGGATTTTTGTCAATTTTATTTTACTTTTTAAATGAAAATAGGTCGATGTCTACATAGATAAAGTCAAGGGGGTGCGCAGTGCCATTTTTGTGCAATTCTGGGATTTTTTTTTAAAGTGAAAATAGGTCGATGTGCACGGATACCGAGTATGTGCAATTCTTAAAAAAGCTCCAAGCAGTGAGTGATTCTGCACTTTACCCAAAATTCTATTGCCGACTTTTCATCATGGGCAATTCCCAAATTGTTAAATCCATATGATATCAAAAAAGGATTTAAAAATTAAAGTAGTATTTTAATGGCGTCTTAAGAAATATAGAACTATATAAATTTACGCAAACTGAAACCAGTGCGTACGCTACATTTGGCGCTCTGTTAAATGGGTGAGTTTGCTAGATTTGGCGGTTTTGCGTATACATTTTCGCTGCATTTTTTTTACGGCCCTCAAAACAGAAGTGTACCTAATTCGGATACTTTAAAGTTATGTTGAGATATTTTAGTAGACTATGCGTTTTTCATAATATTTTGTTTTAAATGGAAAATACATCAGAAGAATTATTGTTTGCAGTTGGAAATCATTGCTTGTTTAGCAAAATATATTAAGTATTCCATATCTGGAATGAGTATGAATAATAATTTTTATTCAAAATTTAGTTGTACATCATTTTAAATATTTGTAAATTATTCGGAGAAAGTGCAGAATCGGCCACTGCTTGGCGCATTTTTAAGAATTGCCCATACTTGGTATCCATGTACATGTCGACCTATTTTAACTTAAAAAAACATCCCAGAATTGCACAAAAATGACATTGTTTACTCCCTTGACTTTATCCATTCACACATCGACCTATTTTCACTTTAAAAGTCAAAGAAAATTGACAAAAATGCAATTCTTAATCTTGTAAAAAGCACTAAACAAATAAGTGAGCGATTCTGCACTTTAGCCAATTATTCAAAATATCAAAACAATCTTTGAGGTAAAGCATTCAACTATCTTTGATGTTATAAAATGATGGAAATTACATAGAACTGTTCAAAGTGCACTGAAATTTAGATCGTATTTGACACTAACACCAAGAAATTGAAGATTTTTCCTAAAAAGAATCAGTAAAAATTTACGATACCACTTGGCGATTCGTTTCTTTTTTGATGTCAAGATCAGCGGCGCCAGGAAGATTCGCCACCAATTTCAAGATGGCCACTATACATAACCAGAATAAGAAGCCAGAGGCTTACTCGGTGTCCATCCCCAACAAACTCAGTGTCCATGTACACATCTACCTATTTTAACTTAAAAAAAAAATTTAATTGCACAAACTAGGCATTGCACACTGCCTTAACTTTGTTCATGTACACATTTTCACTTAAACAAAATCAGGAAGCTAAAACAAAGTTAAAACTATCATGGTAACCAGGAAAAAATTTGCCGTCTTAATATACAAAGATGAACAAATAATCAAAAATATACATACAGAGAGGAATAAATAACCAAAAATACATATTTCCTAACATAAAAACATTAAACAACAAATCTTGGTTAATCTTTGGATTATGGTAACTTGGCGATTTTTTTGGCAAAAATTTGGCGACCAACTCTGCTAAAGCAACCCTCTATTTTTTTTTTCGCCGCCATTTTGTCTTCACGAAGTAAAGACATGTTTCTTTTCTTTTTATTTACTCAATACTTTTTCCAACAATCTGCTAGCCGAATTACACTTATGAAGAAATTTTCTTTCTTTTTTATTTATTTATTTATTTATTTTGATTAACCCTTTTTTTGATTAAGTTCTTGAATTTCTTGGAAAAAAAAATTCTTGAAAACTTCCTTGCAAGTTAATTATTTACACATTCAACAGGAGCTAAAATTTGTCTAAATTATTTCATTTCCAGTCATTATATTTTCCCTCTCAGTACTACAGAAGGAAACTTTTAGGGAAGGTGACTTTCTGCAAGACTGGAAGTTCTTCCGTGTCTTGGATTTGACATTGTCCTAAATAGAGGAAAATATCACCAAGTATCTGAAGCATACCCGAACAGTTAACTGTAGAAAGTTGGTACTACTTGTAGTGTTCTAAACAAAGCTGCCAGTAAAACTGGAGGTCCTAACAAAATAGTAGAAATCTACAAAAGCTTTTTTTACAAAGCGGGTCAAATACTGATTATTTATCGAATAAAGAAGTGTCATTTTTTTTTTTTTACAGTTTTGTAGGAACATTTGGCAAAACATAGGCAGTATCTCTGCCAGCTTTCATGGTCAACAGGATAATACATAAGTACCATTTTTTTCAATTTCAAAACATTTCTTCTTCCTATTTGTTTGCTGTGATTCATAAGGGAAGGTTAATAATTATTAAAAATTGTAACTGTTTCTCAAATATTTTACTTAAAATTATGATCAAGAGTGTGTTAATTATGATCTGGAGAAGTTTAATTATGTACTTCTTTTACTAAATATAGTGTGTAATTCGTAATAAATATAGCTATGTTTCTGATACTGTATACACTGAAGAGCCAAAACATGACCACCTGCTGAATAACACATTGTACAACCTTTGGCCTGAATGCCAAAAGTTCTTATTAGTTATAAATTAATAAAATGAAATTTAATCTGTACTTTTCTTTGGCTAATTTTCAATTAATAAATATTGTTGATTGTTATGTTGATTTAATACTCCCTCTCCCATAGCTACGTTTGTATACACAAGACACAAGTTTGAATGTGTTAAATGTCAGTATTTTAACAGGTGGATTGCGACACACTTAAAGTCTGTACACTGAATAGCCAAAACATTATGACCACCTACTCAATAACACATTGTATGACATTTGGCCTGCAAAACAGATGCAAATCACCTTGGTATGGATAGCACAAGTTCTCAATAAATGACTGGAGATAGGTTGTACTAAATGTCTGAGCAGTGGTCACACATAGTCGAGATATTCTGACATGGTAATGTTTGAGCTCTAAGTTGCTGCTCCATGACATCCCAAATGTGCTCTATTGGATTAAGATCCAGTGAGTTAGGTGACCAGATCATTAATTGGAATTCATCCTCATGCTCCTTGAATTACTCCGTCACAATCTGAGCTTTGTGACATGGGGCTGGCTTTGTCCTGCTGGAAGATTCCATTTCCAGTTGGAAAGACAGATGCCATGTAAGGATGCAACTGATTCCCAGTTATGTTCAAAGAGTCTGCAACTTTCATAGTCTATTCTATTACAACTAAGGGTCCCAAAGCCGCCCATGAGAATGTCCCCAAAGCATAATACCACCAGCCCCAGCCTGTGTATAACCTGCTGTATAGGGGATGAGCAACTGTTGGCCTGGCAGACGGCATACCCTGACATGACCATCAATGTGATGAAGGAGAAATTGTGGTTCAACCAACCAGGCTGTCTTCTACTTATCCTTGGTTCAGTCTCGATGTTCCCGGGATCACTGTACGTTTAGTTGACAATGACGCTAGGTCAACAGAGGCACATGAGTGGGACTTCTGCTGCACAGTCCCATATACAACAGTGTCCACAGAATTGTGTATTCTGAAACACTTGAACTTGTATTGGGCTGTCAACTAGCCCTTGTCTGGTGCCAATTTTGCTGTGCCAAGCAGGACAGTCTTCCATGTCCTTTTTCTTTTGATGATGCATAGACATCCAACACCTTGATTCCTACTCCTCTTTTTACCGTCATTTATCCACTTTGCATAATTGCTAATAATGGCAGATTGTGAACCTACTAGTCATGCAGTTTCAGAGATACTCGTTCTGATTCTTCGGCCATTACAATCTGCTTTCTATCAAATTCGTTTAGATCAGTAGCCTTTCCCTTCACTCACAAAAGTAAGTGCAAGAATGATTCCTTCCCTTTTCCAAAAGCAGATAAATATCATTCCCACCTAATCACATGCCTTTGCTTTCTTTTCTCCCAGAATGTTTTTATGATGTTTTTCCCTTGCTTTCGCGGTTGATCTTTAGATTATGGTAACTTGGTGATTTTTTGGCAAAAATTTGGCGACCAACTCTCCTACAGCAACCCTCTATTTTTCTTCCCCGCAGCCATTTTGTCTTCACGAAGTAAAGACATGTTTCTTTTCTTTTATTACTGAACACTTCTTTAACAATCTTCTAGCCGAATTACACTTATGCTAGAAATTTTATCTAACAAAAACTGCTTAATCATGACAAATATTCACTGCAAAATTGGGAAAAAGTGCACAATACCATACTTTTTACGCATTTTTCAAAATAACACATACACATAAACCATGTACACGTCGACTTATTTTTACGTAAAAAAACATCCCAGAATTACACAAAAATGGCATTGTGCACACTCTTCACTATATCCATGTACACTGCTTTTTTCTCATAAATTAGAAAAATTTCATGAAAATGCATGACAATTTTCTGAATCTTTAAACCCGTTAAAAAGAACATATATGAAATTACCTAATAACGTAAAAGTATATACCCTTTCCAAATATGAACATTTCCACGTATAAAATAAATAAAATATCCAAAAACTTTTACCTCTAAATTATCTATTATATATAAACGTCACCAACGAATTCATACCGCAACATTACAAATACTTAGTGTCAAATATTTAAATTATTTCCATGAAGTTTACTTCAACTAAAATGTATACCAAATTCCTACAAACATAAAATTCACAAAAATAACTATCATTAATTAAAATATAATTAAATTCAAAAAAACACTACTTAAAATATAAATAAGCACATACATTAAATTAATAAAAAATTAGGCTTACAAATCCTACTTTAACTAAATCATTGCTAATAACAATTTTCCCAATAATACCAAGTTACTTTACTTCCACCTTACATTTAGAACAATGCATAAAAATAATATCCTCAAATAATTAAAAATACTAACTTACCTAATCTTCTTCAGAATCTTGATTACGTGTCCGATAAACTTTTCTTATATCTGTTTCAGGATCTTTAAAATCATACTTATAGTTCACAGCAAGGTACCAGGTAAAATAAATAACTTAATAAAACATTTTTACTTCTATCTCGCACAACCTTAAAGAAACACTTGTTACTACCCCTTTCAATCCCACTAAATACCCATTTTGAATTCACTTTAGTTAAGGCCATGGGATCCAAAAATTAACGAACACTGTTTCACACAACACAGAATAAAGCCAAATACAAAATTTCCAGATATTTTCCCGATTTCCCCCCTTTTCCGATTAAAGAACCGTAATTCGTCCATTAATATCACATGACATATCCCATGATCTCTCATTTTCCTCACACAAAATAATGCGTAATCGGAACTGAGTACTGCCACATTATTACTAAAGTCCCAGGTAGTAACCTTTATCGCCTCCAAAATGTCGCCAAACTACCAGTTACCATATTCTAAAGATCAGCCGCTTTCGCTCTCACAGTGTTTTGTAAGATGATGTTTCTCAATGATGTTTTAATCTGTGATCTTTTCTCATATACCTCTTATGATAATGGAATGAATTCAGTTGTTATCAACTGGTCGATTTCTTTATGTTTTGTTATTGTTGATTAGATTGTCTTATTCTTCTCAAAATAGGAATTTGCAGGTGGTATGTCAAAGTATTATGTACAGTGGTACCCTGCATAATGTATTGCATAATGAACATACATATAAATTAGAGAATATTCTGTATAATGAACTTGATCCCTCATAAGAACTGCATTCAAATTTTTCATGCATTGAGCATGAATGTAAATTTGTTGTATTTCCTGTTTTGGCAGTATTTGTGTATAAACAAAGGTAAAGAGCAGAAGAATAGGTAAATAAGCATGTTTCTAAATATAATGTTACCACTGAAGAATTACAAGCTCTTTTGAGCTGACACATGAGGAAGCCAAGAGGGAAGTTTCTTCTAATGAAGAGGAGAATACTAGGAGTTTATGTCCCTTCCAACCATCAAGAACCTTAAAAAGAGAAGGCTCATGATTAGCAAGTTCACAAATCTCAGTTTCTCTGATTTTGTTTGTTGAAGAGCAGGAGTATTACAAGAATGTAGCAAGTCACCCTGATTATTTGCTTATGCATCAAAATAACCTATTACACTACCAGTGTATCGCAGACTCTAGAAACTCATAAACGTATTCTGAAGTTTTATTTATATTTGAAAATATGTTTGGATATTAAATAAAATATTGCTTATGTAAAAAACATTCATTAAAGCCATAAATAAATTAAAAATATGCACATATTTTTTGCTCATTCTCAAATTTTTTTTTTTATAGTCACTCCCAGGAAAAAAAACTAACCATAATTATTAGAGGCCAAAACCATTAAATAAATAAAATTAAATGAAAGTACACATAAAATACAAATTCCACATCATCTGAAGTCCAGCACTGTTATAAGCAAGGCTGAAATCGGGAACCAGTCAAAACCGAATCATGTTCATAAACGAAGGCAAACAAAGGGTAGGTCACCTTTTGTGAGGATACCATTGTGTCTTTGCTGGGATACAATTTGGGAACGATAACGTGTGTGAAAGTGCACTTTTTATATATTCATCAGCAAGTTGCCTTTTCCAGCAAACCACACATAGTATTACATAAATTGTTGCTTTATGAAAATCATTAATCTCTCTTTTGTGGCACTTTATAGCATTTTGAATTAATTTTTGCTCTGTATTATTTGCTACATACAGATATGAAAGTGATCTCAGTTAGTCTTAATAAATTTTTATGAGGTAAAGTATGTTGTTATCTGTTTTATTTAAGAGTTCATTTCAGTGCAGTGTTTAGCATTATATTTCTTCACTATATATATATATATATATTTCCTTCTTATGTCTTTGCTCTTGAATTTATTTTGTAGGAGATGAAGATGGTAGTTTGGTTGTCGTAGTTATTGATCTCAATCCTTCTCCTCAAATGATAAAAGATGGGGAGGTGAGTAAATGCTCACATTAACATTACTTATATATATTACTTATAGTTTTGCTTCTGTTAATTTGCTGAAACTGATGATTAGTTACTTGTTTTGTACTTTCTGATTATCTGCATCTATGATTTGAAGATATAGTAGAATTGCCGGGAGTTTGGCATATTTTTTAGTATACATCTCACAGTAATCAACTTTCACATGTGCATATCACCAATGTGTTTGAGTACATGTGGATTTGCATTGCTTTAAATTTAAGCATTCTTCTCAGAATAATATTAGTCACCTTATAAGAATATAAATACTATCAGCCTTTCAGATTTTTGTTTTCGTCATAAAATTTCTTGTTTTTTTTTAAAAATATTACTTTTTATTATTATCTTATAAATAGAATAGTAGCTGTAAGTTCTAAAATTATTAAAGAAAATTCTGCCAATTCATAAAATCACCATAAATTTGGCAACTTTTCTTGGGGATACAGATAATTATATTGTATCCTTTATTTTTGTTGTGGTGATGGCGATAAGGAGCGCGCCTTGCGCCCTCCGATAAGTGTGGCAACCCTAGAGGAAAAGTTTCTTACGAGTAGCGAGAGAGCGAAACAGGCCGACTGTCGGGCAGTGTGCGCGATGTTCCGAAATAAAGCTTAATTTTTATTGTGCACTATGTCTTGTTAATATTTATATTAATGCAGTAAGAACACGATCTGTGATATGGAATGCGAGCATTGGTGGTAAAACATACAGGTAACAACATGATAGGAATCACCATAATGGTGACTTGAACTGTGCTAAATCAGGCCGTATGAACAGTTCTCAAGCACTTTCGGTTTTGACTACAAGGCCATCACTCAAGATCTCCAAACCAGAAGTAATGGATTATACCGGTTTTTCATCCTCTGAATCACAGATGAGTAGTAATTATAGATCATTTTATAATTTTGTTTCCTACTTATCATTTAATTTCATTCTTTAATTACATATTTGCTTTTATTTTGGCTTTTAAAACCTTGCACAATGTCTGATGTTCATGCTGTCCAAATTCTGTTTTAACCGATCAGACCCATCTTTATGGTTTATTTATGTGGAAAGTACCTTTACTCTTGCCACCCCAAACCATCACAGAATCCTTACTAAATATAATTATGTATTTTCTCATCTTCCTCCAGATTTTGCATCACTAGTGAGAGATTTACTTATGAAACCAGACCCTATTGATCCATATACAAAGCTCAAAACTGAGTTAATAAATCTTTCAGGGAATCTCTCAGCAAGAATTCGCCAATTATTATCTGGAGAGGAATTAGGTTCTTGAAACCTCAGATTTGCTTAGAAATATGAAACGTCGAGCAGAATCTTTAAAACGTTCCTGATAACTTAATGTTAGAATTATTCCTTCAAACGTTTGCCTTCGACTGTTCAGTCGATTTTGGCAGCGGTTCCATTTAACTGTAGATAAAGCTGCAGAAATTGCCGACAGAATTTTAGAAGTAAATCCAACCCCAGGGACTTGTGCCGTTTCTCGCACAGTCGATCAGTCTTTTGAGGATAAATTATTTAAACAAATAGAACAATTAAACAAACGTATTGATCGCATTTCTCTTTCTCGTGGTCGTTCGCCAAATCGCGGAGATCGCTATAACGACAGAAGCAATTCCAAAAGGAGAGATTATTCTGTTTGCTGGTATCATAGACGTTTTGGGAAAAAGTGTAGAGAAGACAAATGTACAAAACCTTGTTCATGGCAGGGAAATGAAACCAGCAAAGAATAGAGGCGACTTATTCTTTGCCTCAAGTTTCACGTCGCCTGTTCGTTCGTGACCATAGAACAAACCTTTCATTCTTGGTCGATACCGGCTCTGACATGTCCTTACTTCCAGGAAATAATTCTCAAAAACGGAATTCTTCGCAACAAACACTTTTCGCTGCTAATTCTTCCACTATTCATGTTTATGGTCAAAAAACCACTTTCTTGGATTTCCAATTAAGACGACAGTTTACATGGACTTTTCTTATAGCAAATGTTAGTACATACCCATTCTTGGAGCAGATTTTCTCCATTTCTTTGATTGGTGCCTGATCTCAGAAACAAATGTCTCAAAGATTTAAAAATGCATTTTAAAAACATCAGTTGCGTGAAAATGCAAGCATTTATTCAGTAAAACTGTATTTAGTGATACACCTTATCACAAAATTTTAAAAGAATTTCCTTCAATTACTAGATTACCAGATCCTAACCAACCTGTTAAACACAACACCGTTCATTATATCATAACTAAAGGTCCTCCTGTGGTTGCAAAACCTCGTCAGTTAGTCATGTCGACCTGATTAAGGCATACCATCAAATACCAATTAACCCAGCCGACATCCACAAAATCGCCATATGCACACCATTCGGTTTATTCGAAAGTACCCGTATGCAATTCGGCTTATGCAATGCATCAGCGACTTTTGAACGTTTTATAGATGAATTCACGCGGGATTTAGAAGGTGTTTATGCTTTCGTCGATGACTTGCTCATAGCCTCTAAAGATTCTGAGGAACATTGCAGGCATTTGAAAGCTTTATTTTCCAAACTTCAGGAATATGGACTTTGCATAAATGTTTCAAAATGCACCTTTGGTCTATTGATTTCTTAGGTTTTCACCTTAGTGAAAACGGAATTGAACCTCTTCCTGACAAAGTCAAATGTATTTTAGATTTTCCTCAACCTACCACTCTCACTCAGCTTCGCCGATTTTTAGGCATGTTTAACCTTTACAGATGTTTCATACCTAAAGCAGCACATTTCTTTCTCCTTTAAAAATTGTTAGAAGGCTATATTAATAAAAAGAACCTTGTTCTCGTGTTCAGGATTCATCCCCACAATTAAATTGGAACGGAATGCTGAACAAGCCTTTATTGCTGTCAAAAAATGCCATTGCTCAGGCTACCCTTTGAGACACCCTATTCCCGAGCCAGCTAAGCATCTGGGTAGATGCCTCAGTCGTCGCAATAGGCGGCACACTTATGCAGTTGTCTCAACAAACATGGGAACCTATAGCATTTTTCTCTATGAAACTCAATAAAAGTCAACAGAAATGGTCCACGTATGATAGGGAATTATTTTCAATTTATTCTGCAATTAAGAAATTCCTACACATGTTAGAGGGCAGAAATTTTATAATTTATACGAATCAAAAACCATTAATATACGCTTTTAAACAGAACCCTCATAAATGTTCACCTCGACAATTGCGCCATTTAGATTTTATTTCTCAGTACCTACAGATATTAGGCATGTGCAAGGTCAAAAAACGTCGTTGCTGACGCTCTTTCGAGAATCGAAATTGATTTCATAACAAAATCTCCATTTTTGGATTTAAAAAAATTTTCGGAAGCTCAACGGCATGATCCGGAGGTACAAGACCTTCTCAAAAATAATACATCATCTTTGAAACTAGAATTTAAACCATGCCAGTATTCTGATGGTAATGTTCTTTGTGACATATCAACGGACATTCCTCGTCCATTTGTTCCAAATTCTTTTCGCAGACTCATATTTAATCATCTGCATAATCTGTCACATCCAGGAATTGCAGTTACTACGAAGCTTATTTGTTCTCGTTATGTGTGGCCCGATATGAAACGTCATATCAAAAATTGGGTGAAATCCTGTGAATCTTGCCCAAAATCGAAAATTACTAGGCATACTATAGCACCACTGGGCACATTCTCTCTTCCTGATGCACGTTTTTCAGAAATCCATATGGATATCGTCGGACCGTTACCTCCATCAGAAGGCAACGTGTACCTTTTGACTCTCATAGATAGATTCTCCAGATGGCCTGAAGCCATTCCCATCCCAGATATGAAAACAAAAACTATTTGCAGAGCCATCTTCAACTGTTGGATATCTCGTTTTGGCTGCCCATCGATCATAACAACAGACCAAGGTTCTCAAATGAAATCCGCATTTTTTGCAGAATTTATGTGCATTTTAGGTACGAACAGAATCACAACAACAGCCTATCATCCAATGTCCAACGGCATCGTTGAATGATTTCATCGACAGTTAAAATTTTCTCTCAAGGCTCACGAGACCAATAACTGGACTGAAACACTACCAGTTGTTATGCTTGGTATTCGTACAGCCGTAAAGGAAGATCTACAGTCATCTTGTGCTGAACTGGTGTACGCACAACTTTCAGCTGCCCTAGTGATATGATAAGTCATTTAAGAATCTCGTAGACACCAATTTATCGCGAATCTTCGGCATAGAATGCGACAATCCAATAGCAACATCTGCACATTGCCAAGAAAAGTGTTACGTAAATGCTATCTTAAAGTCGTGTACGCATGTATACTTATGTGTCGATCGAGTAAAGCCCACCTCTGTGCCAACCATACACAGGTCCACATAAAGTCCTTTCTAGAATGGACAAAACTTTCACAATTCATATTAACGGTCTGAAATTTACTGTGTCTACAGACCGTGTGAAATCAGCTTATTTGCTTTTGGACTCTAATTTGAACTGAAAACAAATAAAGACTTAAAGCAGCAGAATAAATCTGCAAATGAACTCTCTAAGACACAAACTGTCACCAGATCGGGAAGACTCGTTCACTTCCCTAAGAACAATTTAAACAACCTAACATTTAAAAATTTCTTACATAACAATTTAAAAGATTTTTTTTTTTAAAAAATTCATATCGAACATATTTTTGTTATTTCATGTTTATTTATGATCAATACCTGTTTATATATTGAATTGCATTTTGATCTTTTCTAATTTTATATTCTAATTTTGTAATCATGAAAAAAATACCCCAACAGTACGGATACTCTGAGATAATTTCTTAACCTATGTCGTTCCTTGAATAGCCTTAAAGAACTGGGGGGAAACTCTGTGGTGATGGCGATAAGGAGCGCGCTTGAGCCTCCGTAAGGTGGCAACCCTAGAGGAGAAGTTTCCTTACGCGTAGCGAGAGAGCGAAACAGGCCGGCTGTCGGGCAGTGTGCGCGATGT